ATATATATATATATAGCTTTGGGAAGGTATTCGGCGATCAGCAAAAGTCAGAGCCACTCGAGAGTTAGTAATTAGTGGTAGGGGTAGGTCTAAGTGGTGAGGAGGTGGAGGGTACTTACCTGTGCCCTTTGACCACCATGGATGACTATCCCATGTTCACACTTATGTCCCTGCCCATGCTATGGGGACCTCTTCCGCACTTTATCTTTCCTTTTGGGTTCCAGCGAACCCTCTTCTCGCATGTGGTGCTATGGTTTGGGAAAGCAACAGAGCCACATACAGTTGAGGAGGAGGCAGAAATTGACCGTCGGCTAGCTGAAAAGAAGGAGGAGGAAGTAAAGAGAAAGCTGCAGGCAGAGAAGCAGCAGATGCAGAAGGAGGTGCTAGAGAAAGAAAGGAAGTTGGAGGAATTGAAAGATGAAGAAGAAGAAGAAGAAGAAGAACATGTAGGAGAAAGGTTGGAAAGGAGGACCCAGTCCCAAGAAGAAAGGGTTGAGAGCAGCCAAGCAGGGGCGATTCGTATGCGACAGCTGGAGGCAATGAACTGGATGGATCAGTTCGGTTACCGGACGGAGTTCCCCGAAGAAACGGAGGAGAAAAATGCCTTCATCATAAAGTTGGCCTCAACAGCGGACGAGGCAGAAATGAATTTACTGCTGGAGGAGAAGAAAGCAGAATTAAATACTAAGATGGTGGGGGCAAAAAGGCAGGAATATAGTGAAAAGAAAAGGATGAAAGAGGAGGGGGAGAGGTTGCAGAAGTTGTTGCAGGAACAGAAAGGGAAACAGGCTGCCACAGATGAAAGACTCTCCCTCCTAACAGATACCCTTCTCCATACTAACGATGAACTTGCTGCACACCACCAAACCGTTAATTGAATAGAGCTACACCAAGGGGAATTCGATGGCGTCTATAATAACTTCCTACGCAGTGCCTCAAAACAAATTGATCACTGCATATTTGAATATACTGAACAATTAGATAAAGCTCTTTGCCAAAGGTTATCCGACCCTGCCATAGTAAGGAAGTGAAAGATTGGAGGCGGGGGAGGAAATGGAGGTGATGATGGTCACAAAAAAGGAAAGGGTCCCAAGAAGGAGAAGGACAGTGAAGTGGAGGAGTCCAGGCAGAAGATGAGGGTGAAGTTGTTTTGGACTTAATACGGTGAAGAAAGATGAGAGTTTATTCCACTGGGAAGCTGCAATGGATACCTATTTGTACGGGGAGAGGTTCCCGTATTGGGACTACGTGTTAATGGCTTGTTCATGTTTAGCAGGTGATGCACACCATCTCCGTGATGAAGGAGAGTGGTTGCATGACCATGGTCCAGTACTCACAACGAACACGGATTGAAGACTTCTTCAGAGCCCTTAGAGAAAGGTTCGAAGATTAGAATCTGGCCCGTAGGACAGAGTCCTTGATCTTGAACATTGGTGATCGTAAGTGGAAGAGTGCGTCAACACTCAAAGATATTGTGGATGAGCTTTTGCAGTGTCTGGACAACGGACTAACACCCACACAAATTCTGAACAACTTTGCTAGAGCACTCCCGGATCCATTGCAATTGATCATGTTGGCATTTTGCAAGAGATAAGGACTGCCATTATTGGAAGGATCTCCGGGCAGGGAAGAAATGGAGAGAATGCATGATCGCAGGGAACACAACCGGGAAAGATAATCTTATGGTCACCTTCGAAGGAGGGGTAGAATCACTCACCTACGACCATATAGCGTACGGTTTAGAAGAAGATAGCAATAGTCATTTAGCCCAGGGAGGGGACTATGCGACTGCCTCTAAAGGGAGCAACCAGTAGAGGTAGCAGTTGCCTCTACTGGGACTCTGGATGCAAGCAGACTGTAAGGTCCCAATGGCAGAGGTTGAGATGTTAGAAGGGCCCCACCTAGTTAGCTGCTCGGAGGTTGTTTGTGTTATAACCTCTCTAGGTGGTTCCCTCGCAAGCATAGGTGATGAACAAATCACTCGCCGCCGCGTTTGGGCTGAAATGAAGAAAAAGAAAGGGCAGTTGCTAATTGCAGATGTTAGAGGTCAGTAAAGTAAGAGTGGGCGCATTAATAGATAATGGGTCAACACGCAATTATATTAGCAAGAAAGGGCTGCAGAAGATGCGCGGCTGCAAAAGATGCGCCTAGGGCGGAAGGTCTAGAATTTGGACCAGCCCGTTGCGAGTAAGAGTGGGTGCGTTAATAGATAATGGGTCAACGTGCAGTTATATTAGCAAGAAAGGGCTGCAGAAGATGCGCCTAGTGCCGAAGGTCCAAAAATTGGACCAGCTCGTTGTGAGTAAGTTAGGGGATAACAGGGGATAACAGGGAAATGATAGTAGATAGTTAATGTTGAAGGGGTTAGGGCATACTTCCGGTTGGAGGCAGGGGGAAAGGTAGAACTTGTTTTGCAGTCCTTGACACTCTTAGTGGAGGATAGCCTCCCTTTTGATATGATCTTAGGGACTGGTTGCGGCGAGGCCGCGGATGCAAACATAAAATTGGGTGAGCATGAGTGTTGGTCGCCTAGTCCCCTAGGTGGGAAGAAGAAAGTGTGTTTGTTCAATGCATCCAGCATAGAAAGTAGCCTGTCCCTTTGCTGCATGAGTGTCCCCGCGTTCACCCGGCATGTGGTCAAGAATGACCTCGCAGGTGAAGTATTTGTTGCGTATGCGCCCCCGGTAAGTGCAGAAAAGGAGGAAGAGCCAAGACCCCCCAATGTACATAAATTGTTTGTTGAGTTCACAAATGTGGGAGATGCCCTAAATGGAGTGGTTGAGAGAGAAACCAAGCACCGGATAGGCTTGGAACCCGGAAGTAGGATTCCCAAGGGCCCTATCTATAGGATGTTTCCAAAAGAGCTTGATGAACTGGGAAAGCAATTGGATGAGTTGCTGGAGAAGGGGTGGATTAGGCCAAGCTCCTCACCGTTCGGTGCACCGTTTTCGTTTGTGCCAAAGATGGGCGGTGAACTGCGTATGTGCATAGACTATAGAGGACTCGATGAATAATTGTCAATAATTGTCCGGATAGATGATCTCTTAGATGGAGTGCAAGGTTGCAGATATTTTTCGAAAATAGATATGAAATCAGGCTACCATCAGATTGAGGTATTGCTTGAGGATCAACACAAAACGGCTTTCCGGACCCGGTACGACCACTACGAGTTGTGGTAATGCCGTCTGGACTAACTAATGCTCCGACAACCTTCCAGAGATGTATGAATGAGTTGTTTCGTGATTGTTTCGTGATGACATACTGATCTTTAGTAAGAGTTTGAGTGAGCATGAGGAGCACCTTCGAGTTGTGCTTAAGAAGTTGCGAGAGTCCAAATTTAAAACGCAGATTGTTGAGGAAAAAAACTATCTAGAAATGGGATCAGAATTATTCTGTGTCCTCTAAAAAAATGTTTGATTAACTACCCGATGTTGTAAGTCGCAGACCCATCTCTACCCTTTATTGTAACCACTGACGCTTGTCAATACGGGATCGGTGCTGTACTCCAGCGAGACGATGGGAATGGGTACAGATATGTGGAATTTATGTAGTGTAGCTTGCCTAGCGAAAAGGTCGCCAGTTCCACCCATGAGAGAGAGTTGTTTGCTTTGCGGGAAGCGTTGAATTCCTGCCGACACTATCTGCTAGGTCGCCACTTTAAAGTATATTCAGATCATGAAACGCTTCCCTGGCTAAAAACCTAGGCTCAGATGACACCAAAACCGTCGCATATTGTTATGGTGCAGACCCGAAAGAAGAACCGACCTCTCTGACATAGTACAAGATAGCACAGCGGAAGACTGAAATACCAATGATCAGAGTCATCAGACCAATCAATGTCGCAATGTAGACCAAACATATGTCATCATCAGGGGCCTGGCGCTACACACAGGAAGAATGTGCCAGGCTCGGATCATACACAGATGAGGAGGAGGGGGACCAGACGAAGAGGAGGGGAGGATGAGGATGTCGTCAACACCATGTCTTCGATATAGATCCCAGATAGTGGCCCATCCAATCTCTCTGTCCCAATGCCAGGTCTGAATCCAAATGTCCTCAAATCCCGAAGTCACAAATCTCTCTCTTTCTCTTTCTCTCTCGCAGTTTGTCGATACTGAGAAGTCAGGTAGCTAGAGGGTGAGGGAGAGATGGTGGACTCGAGGACGAAGAAGAAGAAGATGAGCTCTCTCTCTCTCTGTGTGTGTGTGTGTGTGTGTGTGTGTGTGTGTGTGTGTGTGTGTGTGTGTGTGTGTGTCTGTGTGTCTGTGTGCGCCAGGTACTAACCTGTGAAAGGTGGCGCCTTGCTGCAGGTACATCGAAGACGAAGTTGGAGCGATGGCGTCATAGGTAAGCTCCCAGGTAAGTCTCCCTGGCCTCCGCCACTCTCCTCCCTCTTGCGTTACCCGAAGGTCCTAGCAGTGCCGAGCGCTGGAAGACTAGTCGTATCGTCACCTGCTACTGCTGCAGCGTTCCGTGGAGTGTCGCTGCTGAATGCCTGAAGACTGAATGTTGCCTCCCGGGGGGACCAGCTATATATAGCACTGGTCCGGTTGGGAGGCTGCTATCACCAATGCCGAACGACACTAGTCCCTGGCGCCTAAGTTGGCACCCAAATTTGAATCTTGGAATTTGAAACAGGGCCTGGAAAGAGCTTGGCGCCTACTGGGCCTATACCGGGCGCCAAAAGTCTGGCGCCTAAGTTGGCGCCCAAATTCGAATCTTCGAATTGGAAACAGGGCCTGAGAACGGCTTGGCACCTACTGGGCCTATACCGGGTCTGGTGCCAAAACGGGCGTCAGGGCCTACCTACTACTGCCTACCGACCTACGGGGCCGGACGCCAAAAGTCGGGCGCCTAAGTTGACGCCCAAATTCGAATCTTCGAATTGGAAACAGGGCCTGAAAATGGCCTGGCACCTACTAGGCCTATACCGGGTCTGGCACCAAAACGGGCTCCAGGGCCTACCTACTACTGTCTGCCGACCTACGTGGCCTATCTAGGCTGAAACGACACAGGCCTAACGGCCTCTACCTAAGCTGAACCGACACAGGTCCTGAAGGGCCCCTACCTAACCCTTGTCCTGCCTGGTCGGGCCCTGCGGGGCCCCGTGTGGTGCTCAGTATGCCACACCCCCCCTCTCCTTGAAAGATCGAGCCTTCTGTCGAGGGCGGAGCTGTCTGTTGGAGGGAGGGACCGAAGTCCGGGTGGGATGGGCTGGTCGTGAAGCTTCCTTAGCTAGTCGTTGTCGTTCGTAGTGAGTGTAGATCAATGGTGCGGATGCTTGCAAATCTGCTCGTGAAATCCACTGAGAGTCGTCACGATCGCATGCTTTGAAGGTGACTTTGTACCGTTGAGGCTTGTTGCCGTACTTGCAATCTGTGATGACGAGGTCGACATCCTGATGACCATCCATAGACGGAGGGTCTTGCGATCGTCGGCCCGGGAAATCGTCGCTCTTAGCCGGTGTATATGTCGTTAGCTTGGAGGCGTGAAAAAAACAGGTGGACCGGTAGATGCGGCGGAATGTCGATCACAAATGAGGGGCCATTGGGCTCATCGCCCACGGCTGAGGTTACGGTCCAAGGTCCAAACCACTTGGGGAGTAGCTTGTGCGACATGTCTTTTTCGCGCGCAAACTCTTCCGCGGAGACTCAAACCAGTTCGCCGGCGTGGATAGGACATGGTACACGACGCCGATTGGCTTAATGCTGCATGCG